TGATTGGTTCTGGTCACCGTTGTGGTTTTCCAGCGCTTGTCATCATAAGCCAGCATGCGTGCATATGGTTTGAATATGATTTGGCGGTTCTATGTTGCACCATTGTTCCATTAAGGTAGCATTGCCACATTTTCGAGAAGGCTTGTTCAGATACATGCAGGATACATGGGAAACAAACACAATCCGAAAACCATGTGCCTGCCGCCTGCCTGCCGCTGTGTATATGAATGACAAATGTTTGCAATAAGCTGGACAATCAGGCGGAGATTCAGGAGCTTCGCCAGAAGGTATTGCAAGCAGAGCTCAGCAAGACCGTTTGCGATTCAGACTCCACCGATGCTTTGCAGAGCTCGTGGCAGGCCAGTATGAGCCTGGCGTATGCTGAAGCATTGGAGAAGGCCGCGCCAGTTCTAGCAGAGGTGGAAGGCCTTCGCGTCAAAGGCAAAGAGATTCACTTGCAGAAGTTGGAAGCGGTCGTGGCAAGGACATCCCTGGTGATGTGTTTCTGTTTTTTTTGCCTTCGGATTACCTCTCACCCATGCACTGTACACAGACCGTACACAATTGCCGACGGGGGGTACGTCAGAACTGTATCATTCGCTGATCATTCGCATTTTTCCCAAAAAAGTATTTGTTCTGCATGTAATGTGCTTCAGCAATATCCTATGAAGATAAAAAACGCACAGGCTTCCGCTATATGCAGTGTAAACTTGCTGTTCACAAAGACTTCTGGGTGTTTTAAGACCAACTATTCATGAACCATCCGGATACCAGCGTATACCTACATACCAGCCTAATAGCATCTAAAGGGCGTCGTCCAGACAGCAAGCGTTACAGCCAAGTTGCCAAATCATTCCAAAAAGCGATGTGGTTTAAGGCGACCTGTTTTAGATGGCGAATTTTTATCTCCCTGTCAGGAAGTATGCCATTGACAAAACAGGGGTGCAAGACAATGAGGCTTGTTTTCCCGCGCATTGGCGCCTGGCCGGTCAATCTGTGTGCTTTGTGGTTGACATGACAGCTCCAGAAGCCAGGTTCCCAGAAGGACTTCTACTTGAGCAGCTCGAGAACAATCACGACACCATCGTCATTGCCTTGCTGAAGCCAGACCAGATTTCTGACGACCTGCAGATTGTGAAAGCAGCGGTGGCGGTGTCTCAGCTAACTGGTGTCTGACTGGAGTATACCCCGGTAAACGATGTGAAAACACCTTCATTTGCAACCATCCACAGAGTTCATTATATAACTTTTTGATCCTCCTGGGAATTTAGCTTAAAAAGTTCAGGACATGATGTCTTTAAAAAACTGTATTTTTTAAGGGACATACCTGGCCGGCCAAAAAAACAGTTCTATTTTTTAAGGAAATCTTTTTGTTTGACAGTCTCCTATTCTTTAAGAGGCCTTCCTTGATTCTAGGAACTTGTTTTTTGATTTTTTTGGTATGTTTGGGATTGTGTGTCACATGCCTGCCGCTTCTGGAGATGCTCACAAACGTCAGAGTGAATGAAAATGGCGAGGACTTCGGCCCCAAAACGGGGAGGTACAACGAGGAAGACACAACGGGGAGACCCCAAGGGGAGACCCAAAGGGGGGGAAACACAACGGGAAAATGATGCAAAATGAGAAATGTCACTTTTATATTTATAAATTTAAAAAAATCATTTCTATCCATAAATTCAATCCACAATGAGGTTTAAAACATTCAGTGGGTCATTCTCAAGGTATTGGAATGAAATTTTGAAAGTTTTTTTTCGTTTTTTTTGGTCAAAATATGTTGAAAAATGAGATTTCTATCCATAAATTCAATCCACAATGAGGTTTAAAACATTCAGTGGGTCATTCTCAAGGTATTGGAATGAAATTTTGTATTTTTTTGTCAAAATATGTTGAAAAATGAGATTTCTATCCATAAATTCAATCCACAATGAGGTTTAAAACATTCAGTGGGTCATTCTCAAGGTATTGGAATGAAATTTTGAAAGTTTTTTTTCGTTTTTTTTGTCAAAATATGTTGAAAAATGAGATTTCTATCCATAAATTCAATCCACAATGAGGTTTAAAACATTCAGTGGGTCATTCTCAAGGTATTGGAATGAAATTTTGAAAGTTTTTTTTCGTTTTTTTGTCAAAATATGTTGAAAAATGAAATTTCTATCAAAAATCTTCAAAATATTCAGAACCAGTTCAGAACATTTCATGCTTGACTTCAACTTGGGTATCCAATTCTTTAAAGGGGCACCCCTTGGTGTGCAACTTGGGTCTTCAATTTTTTAAAGGGACATACTTGGCTACTGTGTTGCAATCTTGGTTCATTGGGGTTAGATTCTTTAAGGCTGAAATTTGCCCTGGTTCGCATTCTTTACGAGGCTACCAGTGGTCCCTTAAAGATTCAGGGGTCGGAGGCCGAATTGCAAGGGGGATACGTTTTGTCAGTCTTAAATATATGAGAAAGGCTTTTCTCGTCCACGTTCCAATCTACAGGGTGCAACCTGTTGCTCTAACAGAACAATTGCCCCTAGGCATGCATTAGCGTGAAGCGTTTGACTTTGCAGATGAGCAAAGATGGCCATCTTTGCGCCCTTGTCCTTGGACCGAGTCCCGACGCGGAGGAGACATCTTTGAGAGGAAGGCGGGGCGCCAACAAATTCCCTCACCTGTTCCCGGCCTTTTGCTGTTTTTTCTTCCCCACCTGCCAGGTGAGGGTTGTTAGATTTTATGTCAGTTGCCTGCTCCTCTCCTCCTCTCCTCTCCTCCTCCTCCTGCTCAACCGCGACCCTCGACGCACAGTGTTCTCTGTCGGACCTCAACCAGACCTCAACCACGACCATCCACGCCCAGTGTTCCCTGCCGGACCTCAACCACGACCATCCCCGCCCAGTGTTCCCTGCCGGACCTCAACCACGACCATCCACGCCCAGTGTTCCCTGCCGGACCTCAACCGCGAGTATCCCCGCCCAGTGTTCCCTGCCGGGCCTCAACCACGACCATCCACGCCCAGTGTTCCCTGCCGGACCTCAACCGCGAATATCCACGCCAAAAGATATGCCACATATAGTGCCAGAAGATATGCCAGATAGAATGTTAGAAGATATGCCAGATAGAATGCCAGAAGGTATGCCAGATAGAATGCCAGATAGAATGTCAGCTAGAATGCCAGAAGATATGCCAGATAAAGGCCAGAATGTTTGCCAGATAGAATGCCAGCAGATTTGCCAGATAATATGCCAGAAGATATGCTAGATAGAATGCCAGATGGAATGCCAGAAGATTTGCCAGAACATATGCCAGAAGATATGCCAGATAGAATGCCAGATGGAATGCCAGAAGATATGCCAGAACATATGCCAGAAGATATGCCAGAAGATATGCCAGAACATCTGCCAGAAGATATGCCAGAACATCTGCCAGAAGATATGCCAGGTAGAATGCCAGAAGATATGCCAGATCGTATGCCAGAAAATATGTCAGATAGAATGCCAGAAGATTTGCCAGTAACAAAATGTATAAATGTCATGGTGTGGATCACACGAAGTAAAGTAATTTTCCGTTTCATGTCGCTTTTTTTCCTTCCTCTTTAATGCTGATGTGTTGCTTTGCTACCCTCTGAACAAGAAATACTTTATATACCTGGCTCTATTCTCAGTTGATTTTTCTTCTCAAGTCACTCCAGACGCAATAGCTGCATGTTGAAATGGGTATCCTGACTCCTTTTGGAAATTTGTCCTTTCTAAGAAACACACCTGTCAGAAGCCTCTCATCTCAGATTTTCTGTCGCTTTATTGGCAGCTTATGGCTCTTCCTTCTGCTGCATCGCTCCTCTCTCTGCATCTTCCTTCCCTTCCTCAATTTCCTTGCGCTCTGCCCTTCCTTAAATTTCCTTCTGCTCTCCTTATATACTCAACGAATGTCAATTGTGGCCTGCCAGGGTCGCTCGAAGCCAGTTCTTTACCTCCATGTTTACCTCCATTCAGCACGTGGTGACCAAAAGCCCAAGAGCTCGAAACGGCCATGCAATCTTCCATGATGGGTGGGGAACCGCCTTCTGGCAGAATGTGTGTGGCCGGTTGACAGTTTGGCCCTGCTCCATCTGTGAGGTGGAGCCCGGCCCTACAATGATTAACATGTCTGAAGTTGGACGTGTGGACAACTTGTACTTCGGGGTGTTCTGCAAACAGGCACCTCTCAAGATGGCCTGGCTGAAGGAACGGGCCATGGAGCTCGCTGGTACAGAATGCACTGGCGAGAGTGAAGAGGACACTAAGGAATGTTGGAAGGCCTTTGCAGAAAATGAGGCCATTGCTGCGTTCACCAACCTGAACGTTCCGGAGACCATTGCTTTGGAATCGTGGCATGCAATCGCACCTGCAGCCCCGTTCTTTCTCAACGATCAGGAGCGGGTGCTGATGGCATGCCTTGGGGACCCGTTCGTTTTGCAGCACAACGTGATCAACGGAGAGGACAGAAAGAAACAGCTCACAGAGGAGCAGGAGCTTCCCAGAGAATTGCGATGGGCTCTCACCATGAGCGAGCAGAAGGCACATGGGGTGAGGGTGTGTTTGGGTATGAAATCAAGTAACGTAATAAAAACAAATCAATGCTGCAATTCATCACATGTTTGGGCATGTTGAGGTGTGATGTCCGTTGTCAATGGGCCCCGTGCTGGGCAGGTGGCTTTGGTGCCCTCGCTGTTGCGACCTGGAAAGATGGCTCTGCAGATCGCACAGAGAGTTGAGAAAGGACAGACCGTACTCACACTTCCGGTGCGTGAAACCGAGTCCGGCAACCTGGATTTGATGATCCGCATGAAAAAGAACGGCAACAGACATGCTGAGATGCAGATCAACATGGGCATGGAGGCTTGCGAGAGCATCCTGCAGCACTTGCTCTACCTTCCGCCCACTAAGTTGTCTGAGCTGCAGGAATCAGGAGTGCCATGTGTCATGGCCGACCTGGTTTGCGAAGTGGCATCTGCCTATGCAGTCCCCATGCTCCGGCTCATCGCAAGTCATGATGCAAATGCCTTCCAAGGTGATGTGGTTGTCATGGTGCAGAAGACCAGCGTCAGAAAGCCAGTATGCAGCAATTCCAAAACACCACCAGCCAAAACGCAGGCACTGGAGGAGGACTACAGTGTGCTGGAGGAGTTGCTTGCGCAGGTCGCGTGGTGTTGCCCAAAGCAGCACTTTTTGTTACCCTGCTGTCAACACCCATGACATCAACAGCACACGATTTGATTTGGGTTGCATCGCATAACGATCACCATCATCTTCACCAATCCGTGTAATTAACATCAACACAACCCGAATACTCAACTTCACATGCGGTCCTCGTTCCAGGGGGCTAACAAGCCTATTGCTGATGGAACAACAGACGGGGCTGGCGACGCTGCGAAGGTGCAATGTCATAATTAGAAGTTGGCTGAATTATGCTGAATTTAATTAAACCAACTGTTTTTTTTCGCGGAATCAATTATATAGAAATTTCTTACCCATGTGCTGTCCTGGTCCGGTCATTGGCGTTCATGATCGAAACAAACTGACAATGGACCAGTCGCGTCCAATGTGCTGGAACTTGGGTTGGGCTTTTGGGGCTGCAATGATGTTGCAACTTGTTGCACACGCAAGCAAAGCCTGTGAATGCTGAAGTTGCAGAGGTGCTGAAAATAGACGGTGAATAGACATGAAAAGAGATATTAAAACAATTTTTAGAGTATGAAAGACATCCTTGTTTCCGGCCTGTTTCCGGCTTGTTTCAACAGGCAGAAGATCCTAAGGGCGTTGCGTTGGACGAGGCGCTCTGCTGTTTTCATTGCTGATTTTAAGAGTGGAGACAGACTGAAGACAGATGCACTTGCATTGAAAAATAGTGAGTGAGTGACCGACTCTTCCTTTTTCTTGTCACATTAATGTTTTGCGTTCTGTTTGCGTTGTTTCCCATTCATGAAAGACAAGTGCATGCAGTTTGAAAAACAACTGACATAGTCTGGACATACTTCGAAAGTTGTTTGAAACCCGTAGGCACATAGGCTGGATGGTAGGGTTCCATAAAGTGACAGCCTGGATCATAGAGGATGATGATGGGTTAACAATACGGAGCAATTTAATCTCCTGAAACTCGTAAACTAGTCTTCCGTCACTGTAACTTGACAGCCTGTTGACAGCCGTTCACATGAGTCCTTGTTGCTGCCTCGCATCGTCTTTCTGCCGAAAACGAAAGGCCAAGAATCCCAAGCGAAAGAAGGCGAAGGCACACTCGTGCACCAGTGACGACCATAACAATTGTGTTTTTAGCTGCTTGTACTGTTTGGACTTGTTTCTTACACTGGCTTTTGATTTGAAACAAATGCAAGCAGATAGCTGGATCTTCAACATACTTCTACAACAGGCAGGAAAGCCTACGGACGTTGAATTATTCGGATCGGATGAGGCGCTCCGTCGATTTTGCATGGAGACAGATGCAGTGGATTTGAAAGATAATGAGTGAATGTCCTTTTTTCCATCTTCTTATCACATATGTTAAATCATGAAACTTGTGAACATGGTTTGCGTTCTGTTTGCGTTGTTTCACATTGATGAAAGACAAATGCATGCAAACATGAAAAACAGCTGACATAGTCTGGGCATAGCCCTAAAGCTGTTTGAAACCCACAAGCCCATAGGCTAGATGGTATACGGTTCCATACATTGACAGCCTTTGACAGCGCAGGAACCGCCTGTGGATGCTGAAGTGGATGAGGTGCTTTGTGGGAAAAAGCTTACATGTGGACCATAGAGGATGATGATGGGTTAACAATACGGAGCAATTTAATCTCCTGAAACTCGTGAACTAGTCTTCCGCCACTGTAACTTGACAGCCTGTTCACAGCCGTTGACATGAGTCCTAGTTTCTGCTTCGCATTAAGAGTAAAGAGCATCATCTGAGCATCATTTAGCCGAAATGGAAAGGCCAAGAATCCCAAGCGAAAGAAGGCGAAGGCACACTCGTGCACCAGTGACAACCATAACAATTATGTTTTTAGCTGCTTGTACTGTTTGGACTTGTTTTTTACACTGGCTTTTGATTTGAACCAAATGCAAGCAGATAGCTGGATCTTCAACATACTTCTACAACAGGCAGGAGAGCCTACGGACGTTGAATTCTTCGGATCGGATGAGGCGCTCCGTCGATTTTGCATGGAGACAGATGCAGTGGAATTGAAAGATAATGAGTGAGTGTCCTTTTTCCATCTTCTTATCACATATGTTAAATCATGAAACTTGTGAACATGGTTTGCGTTCTCTTTGCGTTGTTTCACATTGATGAAAGACAAATGCATGCAAACATGAAAAACAGCTGACATAGTCTGGGCATAGCCCTAAAGCTCTTTGAAACCCACAAGCCCATAGGCTAGATGGTATACGGTTCCATACATTGACAGCCTTTCACAGCGCAGGAACCGCCTGTGGATGCTGAAGTGGATGAGGTGCTTTGTGGGAAAAAGCTTACATGTGGACCATAGAGGATGATGATAGGTTAACAATACGGAGCAATTTAATCTCCTGAAACTCGTAAACTAGTCTTCCGTCACTGTAACTTGACAGCCTGTTGACAGCCGTTGACATGAGTCCTAGTTTCTGCTTCGCATTAAGAGTAAAGAGCATCATTTGAGCATCATTCAGCCGAAATGGAAAGGCCAAGAAGGCCCCCAAGCGAAAGAAGGCGGATTTTGAGTGGAAACAGATTCATTGGAATTGCAAGATCATGATTGAGTTACCTTTTTTTCCTTTTTCCTATCATACACATATGTTAAATCATGAAACTTGTGAACATGGTTTGCATGCTGTTTGCGTTGTTTCACATTGATGAAAGACAAATATGCATGCAAACATGACAAACAGCTGACATAGTCTGGGCATAGTCCTAAAGCTGTTTGAAACCCATAAGCCCATAGGCTGGATGCTAGGGTTCCATACATTGACAACCTTTGACAGCGCAGGAACCGCCTGCGGATGCTGAAGTGGATGAGGTGCTTTGTGGGAAAAAGCTCACATGTGGACCATAGAGGATGAATGATGGGTTAACAATGCGGAGCAATTTAATCTCCTGAAACTCGTAAACTAGTCTTCCGCCACTGTAACTTGACAGCCTGTTCACAGCCGTTGACATGAGTCCTAGTTTCTGCTTCGCGTTAAGAGTAAGAGCATCATTCTGCCGGCATGGAAAGGCGAAGAAGGCTCCCAAGCGAAAGAAGGCGAAGGCACACTCGTGCACCAGTGACGACCAAAAAAATCATGTTTCAATCTGTTTGGAGTTTGGAATTGATTTTTCCCCAACAGCGTAGCTTATTATGATCCCCTCAACTACATAAGGTCTAGAGTACCCAACCCTCCAGGCCTCAGGGGCCCAGGGTCTAGAGTACTCTTAACGTACTTGTTTCGTTTGTGTTTTAATCAATGTAATGCTTCATTACATTTTGGCTCAAGTAAGCATTCAGCTTATTTTCAAAAAGGAAACGCTTTTTCCCTACAGCCATGTTTCGTTGCTTCAACACTGGGTTCACTCAACAACAGTCTCGTTGTTTTTTGCACTCGTTTTGCTTTGCTTCGCTGGTTGGTTTTTCAACCCCTTTTTCCCCCGGGGGGGTGTGGGCTGTTTTCCTATGTGTTCCCAGAAATTTGTCAAACAGACCATTTTGACTTTCACAGACAATTTTTTGACTTTCATGCATGTCTTCCATTTTCCTGGGGCGTCGGCCTGATGGCAGCAGCCTAATATTGGCACGACCACACGGAGCTCCCACACGTGTGGGGACAGTGCGGTTCAGATCGATTTTCTTCGCTTTGGGCCCAGATCGTCGCATTCGCAGTTGCATTTTGCTTCATTTAGGTCAATTGGACTGGAGACATTTGAGAAATTCCAACGCACGCTTGTTGTTACTGTTTGAGTATTCATCAGCTTCAGCTGTACAATCTCCTCAAGTGCAACGTGTTCGAGCCCCAGGATCTCCAGCAGTGTCAAGTGGCCCATCGGTATCTAGTGATTCAATCGTTTCATCCAGTGACATTCAAATGAATCCCAGTGAGACAGAATGGATTCTGATTTCTGAGACTCAAAAACCAGATGCATGTCCAATTGCACCTAAGAGCGCAGCACCATTGCCAGTCCCTCATAGTCATGTGGCGCATCGACAGTATCCTGGCCCGGCCTTGACACTTGGTGGTTTACCCATTCCTATCCCTAAAGCTCGGGCAAAATCAGCAACAGTTCCTCTGCCTGTTCGGATTCCGCTTTCAGGGGATGCAACAGTTTTAGGGCCTGCAGATCATTCTTTCTCGAGATCGTTGCCATCAAGCCGCACTGGACTCAGCTTTCCACTCTTGCCAGTGGGGACATCAAAAAGACAGCAGACCAAGACATCAGGTCAATTATTGAGGTTACAACATCCCTCTCAATCGGATTGGTTGGTTCAGCAATGGTCTGCCATACTGAAAAACTTGGGTGAAGTTTCAACAGTTGCTGTGGCTTTGCAAGCCTCCAGTCATGCCCCGCAACATGCTGCACGACTCTTGGACCAGTTCGCACCATCAACACTGTTGCGGTATTTTCAGGCTTGGACCAGTTTTGCCAAGACCCTCAAATCACTGGATTTATCATTGGGTACACTGACGGAGGCCCAATTGGCCGATGCACTGGTTACGACTTCACTTGCCAAGAGCTCCGATTGCTCATCTGGTTGTCAACTGACAATTAAGGCTATTCGCTGGATTTCCACCCATGCAGGTGTGGAGCAGCTCAAAATTGCGTGGCGCCCTTTGATCGAGAGTTTCTTAAAAAGCAGAATTCCCAAAGAGCTCAAGGAATCCATCCCCATTTCTCTGTATACGATGTGCAATTCGAGCGGAGAATCCTTATGGCAGCTTGTACACCAGCCGAGACTATTATACTGGGGTCCATTCTGGCATGTGTGTGGGGTGGACTCAGATTTGCTGACGCACAAAGGTGCAGTTTCAAAAGCTTCTGCTTTGATGGGGAGTCGTTTCGAGCGACCTGTTGGCGAACCAAGACATCATCCAGGGGTCAGCCATGGGGATTTGTGGCGCATGGCCTTTTGTCCCTGGGTACATATTCATGGACAGAGAAATGGCTGTCCACCTTGGATGAGTTGTGGCATCACGCAAAAACAATGGACTTGGACATGCCAGTCCCGGACTTTTTATTTCCGGTCATGCGTCAAGATGGTATTGAGTTACCATGGTCAGCAATGCAATACGCAGAGGCTTTGAAATGGATTCGCCATATGGCTCGGCTCCCATGGAAGAGCACCCCACAAACGGCCGACCATTTATCGGTCCATTCAATGAAGTCCACACTCCTTTCATGGGGGTCGCAGCTCATGGCCGACGGCCAGGTCTCCGCTGAAGAGAGACTTCTCCAAGGCCATCATCGCCAAAGTGCCTCACGGAGCTTGAGGCTATATAGCCGTGATGACGTCCACGGCCAGCTGGCATACCACAAAAAGCTGATTGACAGTATCAGACGTGGAAAAAGATTTGTCACACCCCAACACCGAGGTGGACAATTACCAGTTGTGGAACCGGCAGTCCAGATCGAGTTCTTCAGAAAAACCTCTATGGCGAGGCAATGGCTCTGCTTCGATTTCAACAAGCCAGTTGAGGTGCCCGAGTCGCCCCCACTTCCAGCGGCTCACGATGAACAATCTTCGTCAGGGAGTTCTGACACTTCATCCTCCTCGGACTCCTCCGATTCAGAGGTTTCCAAAGAGGTCTCAGCGAGGGCAGCCAAACGCCCTAAGATGGTGTTTCCTATGGAGGAGCCAGACGAAGTGATGGTTGCGTCTGTTTCCTATGTTCAACATGCAATGATCGGCACAACAAAAGATTGGTTCCCCTATTACCAAGGGCGACACTACCAAGCTGCTTGTGGAGCCCGCTTGGATCCGGATCGGGCTCGATTTGCCCAAAGTGCTGACCCTAGCTTGCACCTTTGCCAAAGACCCGCTTGTGTCAAAGCCTGGAAGGCCATGCTGGTATAACCGATCGGCCGCTTGCCATCGAAAAAAAATGCAGCCGTGTGCTGCTCTTCTGGCGGACCAGACATACTGATCATTTTTCACATTTTTTTTCCAATTGTATGTGCAGTGTTTCTCACTTCTTATGGGTTCCATAGGTTATGTTTTTTCATAAACTCCAGCCTCGGGGACCGAGCATTTGCAATGGAGTGCACATCCAGGTGATGACCATGTCATGACAACAAGGTTTTTAATGGCTATCCTAGCCATTGAGCGTTTATTTTGTTTTTTCGTTACGGCGTGCTGGCTCAGCTCACTGGACAGTGATGCATTCTCACTTGATGCGGCATTATGTTGCAGCACTATCATGGATAAATTTTTCATCACAAATTCCCACCATAAATTCATTTGTTGTCGCCCGGGTTTCAACCATTTAGACCAATAATTATGTCCCAGTCATTTCAGTGTTTGACTACCATATTCTTTTCTTTTTACCCTCGACCACGTCTCCATGGCAGAACCTTTGGAAACGGTTTTGGCTGATGCTGGAGTGGAACCGGCACTGGCGTCAGGGATTATGGCCGATGGTTGGACCCTGAGAACTTTCCGAGAAATAGCGGCCACTGCAGCAGAGTTTACAGATGCTTTATTTTCTGAGCTTTGCCCTCACAATGATCACTTGACCCTCTTGCAAAAAGCTTCCATCAGATCAGCTTGGAGGAGCGCACAACAGCCAGAAACCCTTCAAGGTTCCTCTACTGATGGTTCAGGGATGGCCGCACACTCAGGATCCGTTGCAGATGGATCATGGTCAGAAGTTTTCCCACCAAAGTTGAACAATGAAACGGTAACATCGTTGAAGAAGCAATTTTTGCAGAATTATCCGTCAGAGGTTCTGACCTCAGATACCCAGCCAAGCTCCAGATTACTTGCCCTTGCACACCAGCTCACCCAGAAGAAGGACTTCAAGTGGCTTCCTTGGAAATTCCGCATGTCAATGTCGCGTTCAGAAGACATGGCCATGAGCAGGGCATCCAAAGCCCCGCGCTTAGAGAACCTGCAGCTTCACCAGCTATTGATTGACGAAGTACCTTCTTTGGAAATAAATAACCAATCGCTGGGTCTGAATGCGCTTCGTCAGATGTTTGAGATCCATAATTATGCGTGGGCACTTGTGGGGGCGTGTCATTTACACAGACTCCGGGCATATACTCTGAAATTCATGAACCTGCTTTCAGTGCGCCTGGACCAGGACTCAGGTTTACGAGCTCCCAATATGTTGGAAGCCCAGCAGGCCGATAAAACCATTTGGTATCACATTGCCGAACTTTGCGAATCTTCCACATGGTCATTGGATGATGCACTTTTGGAATTCACTCAGAACCGAGGGGATCTAGCTACACTCCTGCAACCCAGACCACGGTTTCAAAAAATTGCGCAAGCTCCAGCCAACGTTCCTAGCAAAGGCATTAAGGGTCCCAAAGGTGGCTCCAAAGGCGCAAAGTCTTCCAAAGGTGGCTCAAAACCGGGCGTCCGATGGCTCTCAGAGATTTGGCGAGGCTCTCAGAAAAAGACTCTCTGTATGAGATTTCAATCCGGCAAGTGCTCCAATAAAGATTGCCGCTATGAACATGCTTGTGGATATCCCAAACCTGACGGCACAGCTTGCGGCGCCAACCATGCCGCGATGGACCACGATAAAACACCACACTGACTTGTGGCAGCAACACATTCGTTACAGACTGCAGTTTCATCACCACAGGCCGTCCAAGACTCAGAGCTTCCTCCACTAAGTGGTTGTGTAGTTGCCAAGGAGTTGCAATCAGTATCACCTATGTTTCAAACTCCTACAAGGGAGGACCAGGAAGTATCACAGGCCATTTTGGCCCCACTGTCAACAGTTGCTGACATGGAGACGGACCCCAATATTCAGACGGAACATCGGCCGGATCCTCAACCAGAGCAGTCTGATCATCGACAAGAGCATGATCATGTGATGACTTCGAGTTTGAATTCTTCAACGCACAATTTTTCTCAAGAATTACTCGCCCCATGGAGTTGTCAGGGTTCAAAGATATTTTTGGATATTTGCAGTGGCGTGGATGCACCTCTCTCTTCGGCAGTTTCCGAATTAGGTTTTCCGGCACTCTCCATTGATTTGTTAGTGGACTCCCGAATGGATTTACTGGATGATTCCTTCTACGAACAACTCCTACGTCTTTGCGGCTCCGGAGTAGTGGGGTATTCAGCAGCGTCTCCTTCATGTACGGAATATAGCCTGCTAAAACTCCGACCCGGGGGACCCAAGGCCATTCGAACACCAGATATGCTGAGGGGAGTTCCTAATTTGACCCCAGAAGAGACGCAAAGATTGCAAGATAGTGCCACACTCCTGGATCGCTGTGTCACTTCAGTTTCAGTAACTTATTCTTCGGGCGGTCATGGACATGTTGAACAACCCTCGGGAGCCATGAGTTGGAGCGAAGATTGCACCCAAGAATGGATTCGCCTGTCAGGATGTGCCCTTATTCTTTTAGCAGCATGTGCATTTCACTGGAATATCATGAAGACATGGTTATTTGCTTCATCATTTCAACCTCTGGCAGAGTTAGCAGCTACGTGCAATCATGGACCCAAGGCGCATCCCTCTATTGCAGGAGTCAAAGATGAACATGGCGTCTATTTGAGCAGACGATCAGCGGCCTATCCTAAGGCACTTGCAGAGGCCTTTGCGTCAAAAATTTCAGTGCTCCTTACTCCCCTGGCTACACCAATTTCATGGTCCAATGTTTTCAATTTATTTCCCATCAAGCAATTGTTTCAAAACCCCAAAGGTTTTGTGGATGGGGGAGGCCTGCATTCCACTCCAGATTGGTCCAAACCACCCAATCACTCCTCTAACTTGTTTAGATCAGTCCGTGACCACTGGATCCCCCGTATCCTTAATAACAATTGGCATAAGATGCTTGTTTCCCATTTTTTACAAAAGAAAACAGATCCCCCCCTTTTCAGAAGGGATCATCAACGAATTCCGCAATTCTCTTGATTCTTTGCTGCCGCTGACATCACCATTGGACTGGCAAGTTCGAGAGGACCAGCCCTTGTGCCTCCACGCCCTTGCAGCAATCAGCCAATATATGCATGACCCTGATGTTCATTTATTTCCGGACCTGATAGCGGGGGTATCTACTGGTTACAATGAGGATATTCGTCCATCCCATGTTTTTGCTACGAAGCCGGACAAAGAAGATCTTGCTGCACCAGACCTATCCATCCATTTAACAAATTGGAAGAGCGCAGAGGATCACCCTGATGTCACCCAACAACTGGTGGACGAAGAGATCTCCAAGGGTTGGCTCATTTGTTTTGATGGCAGTGTAGAAGATGCCAAACAACGTTGGCCGCATGGGGTTGCCATCGGCAAACTTGGCGTTGCCGTCTCGGATTCACGTCCACCTCGGTTAGTAGTTGACTATACAGTATGCGGAACAAATCCCAACTGTAACATCCAGGAGCACCAACAACTGCCCAGCGCTAAAGAGGTGCAGCGCTGCTACCCTTTAAGGGAACATCCTGAGGAGCTGGGCGCCCTAGGCCTGGATGCCAAATCTGCCCACAAATTGTGCGTCATCAAGGAAGATCATCGTGGATTAGTGGGCTTCAGTCTGAATAACAAGTTATATTTTTATAAGGTCTGCCCCCTCGGAGCCAAGTTCTCCGCCCATTGGTGGGGGAGGTTGGGGGCCTTTTGGACACGGCTCCTACACCTGGTAATCTATGTGGCTCATTCCTTATTTCTATTTGTCGATGATTGGCTTTTGGTTCAACGCATGGATATTCTCCCGGTCACTGCGACTTTAGTGACGCTTGTCATTCAAGCTTTCCGGTTGCCCATCAGTTGGCGCAAAGCAGAGTTGGACAGGGAGGTCAGTTGGATTGGCTGGAACCTAAATTTTTCCACAGGTATCATCCGATTGCAGCATGCCAAACGTGACAAGTTATTGAAACTCATTGCAGACCTGCTCCAGCGCCCCAAGACCTCCAAGAAACAAATTGAGAAGTTTGTGGGTTTGCTCCTCTGGGTAACGCAAATCTTTCCTGTCATGCGAGCATTTATTCATCACTTGTATGCAGACTTGTACAAGGCCCCAGCCACCCTTTTTTCGGTGGACCCAGGGTACTGGTTAACCACAATCGCCTGCTTGTCCGACAACCTTCAATTCACGATCAGACCAGTGGGTACAGCCATACCCATTGGAGGCAAGCTTTTATCTGTGCGTCATCAACCAATTCAATCCCTGGAGGATGTTAGAAACTGCCGTTTATCCGACAAGCGGATCTGGTTACGAATCCTTGACCCGACCTCCAACAAACGATCACTGAGCACCAGCTCTCAACGGATTCTACGTATGTACCAAGAATGGCTCCAACATGCAACTCCTTTCGTTTCAATGAATCCAAAATTGCCATGGGCGGGTGAAGCTGCCGCCGACGCTTGTGCCCATGGAGATTGCTGCCAAGTCGGAGGTTTCTTGCGCTTCGCCAATGGCGATATGAGATGGTTTAGTGAGCAATGGTCATCAGCCGATTTTCTAGCCCTGGACATCCCTGTCAATTCAGATATGCAGAAAGATATCAGCTCATATGAAACTTTCGCACAATTCGGTTTACTTTACGCTCTATGCTATTTTCTTCCTGGCCAGAGAATTTCCATTACACTGAAAAGCTTGAGTGACAATACTGCTGCCGAAGCCAATTCAAATTTTTTATTTACCACCAAAACTCCCTTGTGCTATTTTGTGGAACGATTGTGTATGTTAATTTCAACAGTTCATGCAGAACTCGATGTCAGCCACATTGCGGGACATTCCAACGACCTCGCTGACCGCATTTCCAGATTGCCTTTGGAGGATCCATTACCTCCTGATTTGAAAGCATCCGAACGCATCCGTCTGCCTCTTTCCGAGATTTGGTTTCCATTTCATCAGCCAACTGTATTCCCAAAGGGATCCAAGGTGGCGTGGAAACTTCCAGTTTCTCGTTTCTGATTCCCATCTTTTCATTGCCAGTCCTTCATTCACACTTTTTCGAAGGGGTTTGGTGTGGCGTTCAGAAGTCCTTGTTTCGATAGTTGAAGTTGGGTGAAATGATCCATCGATCCAAATTGACTTCTGATGTGAAGCTGTCACATCTTACTGGCAATGAAAAAAACAAGTGTGGGAATCTTGCGCGTTACGATCCATAGGGTTTCACGTGTTTCATGCATCCATGCTTGATTGGCGAGTTTGCGATGTGGAATCATTTGCAGCGGACTGCGTTTAGGTTGTTTTCTTTTAGTTTTATTTTTGTTTGGTTTTTGTGTTTTGCTTGGTCATATATATATATATGTATATATATATATATATTTGTTTTGGTCAGTTTATATGTAAGTAAATGCTCGCTTCCTCAAGCTGTAGCAAATGAATGCTTACTTGTTAGAACTCTTAACGTACTTGTTTCGTTTGTGTTTTAATCAATGTAATGCTTCATTACATTTTGGCTCAAGTAAGCATTCAGCTTATTTTCAAAACCCTCCCTCCCACTCCTTGTTATTGACTTCATGGTCTCTTTCCTTCTTCTTTGTAGTTCTGATAACCAAGTTGTTGTTTCTTCTCGCTGTTGCTTCCCCAATGTCCATGTCATGACCATAAGTCACCTATAGCAAGAGTGGTATACTATTTCACTGGTAGTCCTTTGCCTACCACCGGCAGCTTTGGCCCTACTGCATCCGCTCGTATGCATCCGATTTCCTGCATTTACCCGAGATTTGCCTGCTGTGCCCACAGCTATGCATCCAAGCATCCGGCCGTAGACCTTGATTCTCGGGTGTTCACTCATTCGGAACTATCCCCATTTGACCACTTGCTTTAACTAATTTGTTGCTTTCTGCAGTGCTGAACACCAGCTTGTGCTCGAGCTGCACACGGTTTCACCATCTGCGTTGTCCTCCTTTAGGAGACATTCCGCCTCTAACCAAATCAGTTTCCGAAATCGATGGGTGAAATGATCCATCGATCCAAATTGACTTCTGATGTGAAGCTGTCACATCTTACTGGCAATGAAAAAAACAAGTGTGGGAATCTTTGCGCGTTACGATCCATAGGGTTTCACGTGTTTCATGCATCCATGCTTGATTGGCGAGTTTGCGATGTGGAATCATTTGCAGCGGACTACGTTTAGGTTGTTTTCTTTTTGTTTGGTTTTTGTGTTTTGCTTGGTCATATATATATGTATATATATATATTTGTTTTGGTCAGTTTATATGTAAGTAAATGCTCGCTTCCTCAAGCTGTAGCAAATGAATGCTTACTTGTTAGAACTTCCTAGAGCACTGTAGACCCTCTGCATTTAAGGTACTGTAGACCCTTGAGCGTGTTTATGTTGGACATGATATATAGATGTCCCAAAATTTTCAACTTTGAAGATGTACGGCAGATCTTGTTTTTTCAAAGGTCTGGACAGCTTTTCTGGCAATCATCAGGACAGGTTGGTTTTGCTGACCATTGTAGCTCTAGACCTTTGCCAAGCTAGATTCCCCAGTTCTTACAGAGGTCTGGACAGCGTTTCTGGCAATCATCAGGACAGGTTGGGTTTGCTGACGATTGTAGCTCTAGACCTTTGCCAAGCTAGATTCCCCAGTTCTTACAGAGGTCTGGACAGCGTTTCTGGCACTGATCAAGACAGGTTGGTTTTGCTGGCCATTGGGTTTCTAGACCTTTGCCACGCTAGATTCCCCAGGGCCGAAAAGATGAATACTCAGTGTGCACTTAATTCAGCTTATATTGCTGTTGGGGATACCACCTGCGCCTTGAGACAAATGCAAGCAGATAGCTGGATCTTCGACATACTTCTAGGCAGCTTCTAAGGTTCTTTCCTTCAAATAGGCTGTAAACCTGTTGTGGACGGTGGTATCGGTATATGTAGAGTTGTCTTAACAGCCGTTGACAGCACAGGCGCATGCGGAGGCAATGGGTGCTGAAGTGGCCACCACCAAGGTGCTTTGTCAATCCGAATGCAGCCCGCGTGCATCTGTCTTACATTCAAAAGGTTAGCAGGGGCAATCAGAAGACAGTTTTGTTCCAGATGCTTGCCGCAATCTGACCACAATGTAAAGTGACATACTTCCAGCATACTCAGAGCCTGCTCAGAGCATACTTCCAGCATACTTCTAAAATTGTTTGAAACGCTAGATGGTGCGGTTTCATACGTGGACAGCCATTGACAGCACACAGGCAATGCAATGTTGTTAGTCTTTTGAAAGACTAGATCAACCTTGGTCGCCCGGTATGTTGAAGGGATACACGCCCCATGTTTCTTGGCCATTCTGGCAACACCGCCTGTCAGGCCAAAGAATTTGGACCTGGTGTGGAGTTCGTGCCATTTGGGAAACTCACCTTCGGGATGAACGAGGAGGCAGCCCGCTTCGTTGCGACCACAAGCAGCAAGCTGCGAATGGCGAAGAGGTATGCCCTCATTTGCAGGGTGCATGGGGGTGAGTTGCACCCGAGCCTTGGCATGTTCCGCATGAAGGTGAAGAAGGCTGTGAAGTGCACCATTCGAGGAGATGACGGCAAGTTTTCCGAAGTGACTGCATTGGAGAAAGCGGACCCGCAGATTCAGATGAGCCTGGAAGCTTGTTGTTGGACCCCACCTCCTGCCGCCAAGCCAATCATGGAGTGCTTCCTCGGGTATGAGAAAGCTGGCAATGGCCCGATCGGAATGGCTTGGGCATCTTGGCCGCATTTCCTTCCACACCAAGGGGGCCACAATGGCTAATCATATTCTGATCATATTTTCCATATCTTCCATCAAATCAACAATCCATCGATCGGTTTCGATTATCATGCAGGCAGCATGCAGGTAGGTCTGAGGTAGGTCGTGGTCGGTTGTAAAACCTCCGTGTAATGACACACGATGACAAGCTATGACATGCAAATTGTTTGCGCTGCCGGTAGCTTGCCGGTAGCCTGCCAGTAGCTCAGGCATTGGTGAAGCAGGAAGATGGCACATGGAAAGTCGACGGGGCTTGCCTCTTCTTGAAGAAAAGCTTCAAGATCCCAGCCAGTGAGAAATCGGCTGTGCTGCAGCCTGCGGAGGCCCAATCCGCAGTGTGTGGGTCGGTTTGTCGTAGCCTGGTGGTAGCATACATTGAGTCTGCCCAGAGTCCATCCAAAGTATAGAATTCAATTCGGCATGAATTACCATGTTTTGTCCGTGATGTGTGGCCAATCGATAGTATTCACCCGAAACGATTCCCCAAACTTTTACCAGACTTTTACATTCTTTGGAATAATTCATGGAATGGTGAGCCTGAATCACGGTCAGCTCCGATGAGGTGGCAGATGAGATCGATGATGAGGCCAATGACGCCGAGGATGCTGATTGAGAACATGGCCAGAACATGGCGTTGCTGGATCACCCTGGGATCACCCTAAGGTGTTGGCGACATGTGCAGAGACTGGCAATGGCCAAAGTTGCTTGATATACGGGGTGTTCCCCAACGTTCCCGAGCTACCTAAAGAACTCAACCATACTAGAACATACCCTGAACATACTCAAACTAATTATTATATTATATATATAATATATATTATCAAAGGACGTTTAGATGTCTAACTTCCGACTATACTGAGAGTTGCCGCCGAAGATCTGTCAACCAAGAGATGTGATCGCGCAGATGCGATACAGCTGGGATCAGGAAGTCTCGCAGAAAAGCTTCGTTTTTGAGCTTCGAAGCTCCATTTTTGAAGGAAGTCTCGCAGAAAAGCTTCGTTTTTGAGCTTCAAAGCTCCATTTTTGAAGGAAGTGTCGCAGAAAAGCTTTGTTTTCAATCGTTCTGACATCAATTAAATTTCAATTCAATTGAATCTCAGATCAATGAAAACTCAAAGCAATTGAATCTCAAACCAGTTGAATTTCAATTCATTTGAAGTTCAAAGCAATTGAATCTCAAATCATTTGAAGCTCAAATCAGTTGAATCTCAAAGCAACCGAATTTCAAATCAATCGAATCTCAAACCAATTCAATCTCAAACCAGTTGAAGTTCAAACCAACTGAATCTCAAATCAATTGAGTCTCAAATCATTTGAAGTTCAATCACTTGAGCCTCAAGGCAACTGAATCTCAAATCTATTGAATCTCAAATCAATTGAATTCCAAATCAATTGAATCTCAAATCAATTGAATCTCGAATCATTTGAAGCTCAAATCCCAAGCCCATTGAATTTCAAAGCAGTTGAATTTCAGACCACTTGAATTTCACACTTCATTCCTATAGGTATCTTATTTTTGGAAACTTCCGCCACCGCCTCGTGCGGTAGATATGTTATTTAATCTGTGGCACACAACCAGCTTTGGCAAGCAACCAGCTCTCGATGGTAGTAGCGTATTTCTCGGTTTGTGAGACGTGACTCCAAATCACGTTCTGATCACGTTTCAGACAATTTCGGCCAGTCTGTGGGGGAGGAACTTCGGAGGAACTCTATCACTGCCACTATCATTGTTTTGCCATGCATGAAGTGTTGACATGAACTTGTCCGAACTCAGTCCGAACTTTTGGTTTTATTGAGTTGGAAGAGCCAAAAAAACACCAGAGGAACTATGGCTTATTTGAAGATCAAATCTTTCAAACTATGTCGTTGATGGATCACCCTGGAGTTCCGGGGGCGCGTGTGCAGGGGCTGCACGAGCGAACAGACAAGTCAAAACAGAAGGGTGACAGACAGGGGGTCGAAGTGATGGTCTCAAAATGCTACGAAGTTTTTTTTCCACATGAAACTGATGATGCTGTTTAGATATCAGTAATACCGCACAAGGCGGTGGCGGAAGTTTCAAAAATAGGAAACCTATAGGAGAGATTGGTTGTTGTGAATCAGGGACGGCAGAGAGAATCCACTCATGGACCGAAAGGTGCTTGAGGTCTCCTCTCTTTCTCTCTCTTTCTCTGACTATCTACCTGCCTACCTACCTATCTATCTTCTATGTATCTGTCTATCTCTATCGATCTATCTCTCTCTCTCTCTCTTTCATCTAATTACCTATCTATCTATCTATCTATCTATCTTTCTATCTATCTATCTATCTATCTAGCGGTCTATCTATCTATCTATCTACCTATCTATCTGTCTATTTGTCGATCTATCTGTCTACCTGTCTACCTGTCTATCTGTGGTGCAGTGTCATTCAGTGGTCCGAGACCGCCAGTTTTTAACGCTTTTGACTTCGAAATGTGCTTCGCACCACAACGGCGTACTATTTTTCATCGCTCCTGTGGCCAGCTGGCTCCGCACACGCCGCTTTAGCGAGCCTACTTTTCGACCCTCCGGAGCCACAAATCATTGGAAAAACACAGTGTTTCGCGACTTTCCTACCTTTTCGCGCATCTGTATCTTCTGTCCTCTTACTCTTTCTCTTCTGATCTTCTCTCTTCCAATCTTCCTCTTCTCTCTGCCTCTGCCCTGCTCTGCTTTTCATCTGTCCATATTGTCGGAAGTTTGACTTCTAAACTTCCTTTCGGTAACTCTAACATATGGGAATTCAACATCATGTAACATGATGTTGGTGATTTTAGGATGTTGCCAACAAACCACCATCGATTTCCTAGGCACTGTGCGTGTCTTCGGGCAAGCGAGCCTGCCCTTGGTTTGGAGCCCGGTTTTTGGGAAGTTTTTTTGAGCTGGCTTCAATATAGCTGTACAATCAAGTGCCAAATCAGAATTCAAGTTTTTTATGTAGCGGCTATAGCTCGAGCGGTCTCATATCGTAGGTTTTTGCGTTGTTGCTCATTATTTCGCTTGTAGATCACCAGTGCATGGCATTGAGGCGGGAGTCAGCACAGCCTTGTTTTTCAAGCGCAGGTGGGTGTTATATGAATGTTTTGCCTTCACGATGTGTTGGTTGGATGTTTTCTTTTGTTGTTCTTGTTGGAATGTTTTGGTTGGTGGTTTGGAATCATGCCTTTGGTATTTTCGGAATTGGCCCACAGGGGCCTTGCATGGTCAAGTTGGATCCTGGTTGGATCTGTAATGTGGCCTATCCATGACTACAGCACATTACAAGGAGTTTTGATCTGACCTTTCGCGACTTCAACTTGAAACACACTGTTTGGTTTGGGCTTCAAATCTTGATCACTGACTCTCTAGGGGTCGGAGCTGGGTCGGAGCGTCCCTCAACGGCAGGCTTGACTGAGTCCTGTTCCTTCGATTCCTTTTCAAGACCTGCTGACAAAGGTGGGCAAAAAACGCCAAAAGGAATCAGTGCAGCCTGAGTGCAGCCCAAGACCTCAGAGAAACCGCCAAAAAAAACAGACACCCAAAAAAAATCCAACGACACAGCCGACCTGCCTCCATCAGGGCATCCGTTTGCCTTCAGCGGCCGTGCCTCAAAAAGATGACGGTTGGGATGCCCACAGCTTCGATGTATCTACTGCCAGTCTACTGCATCTATCTCTATCTTGATACACTAATTCAAAAGCTCATTTGAATATCTTGGAATTTGATATCTTCATTTTTTCGTGTCCTGGAGTTTGAAGTTGATCCATTTTGAAAGATGTAGACTTAATGGTAATCTCTGAGGGCTAAAGATTTTTTTCAAAAAAAAAAGTAGATCCTGCGTAGATCCTGCGCAGATCCAATCAGGCATATAGCAGGGAGGATTGTAGGCTTGTTTACGCCTGGTTTACGCATTCGAGCCGAGATATCAAGATACCCAGAAGATACCCAGTATGTGCGTGAAAATTTCTCTCTCTCTCTCTCTCTCTCCCTCCCTCT